AAGATGTCCAAACACCGAGGAGTCCCCAGCATAGCTAGCGATGAAGCGACGAACAATCCAAACATTGAGGAGTCCCCATCGTGGCTGGCGAGCCCCCAGCATAGCAGACGATGAAGCGACGGACAATCCGACTAGTTGGTTGGCGAAGAATCGAGCATCGAGCAGCCTAACCAACTGGTCGACGACGAAGTGAGCGCTGAGTAGAAGTGAACACCGAACAGTCCGATCAACTGGTCGGCGACAAAGTCCATGAACCTAACGGTCCGACCAGTTGATCGGCGGAGAAGTCCGAACACCGAGGAGTCCCCAACTTAGCTGGCGATGCTTGTACGAAGAATCCAAACACCGAGGAGTCCCCAACATAGCTATTGATGAAGCGACGAACAATCTAAATGTCGAGGAGTCCCCAGCGTGGCTGGCGATGAAGCGACGGACAATCCAACCAGTTGGTTGGCGAAGAATTGAGCACCGAGCAGCCCAACCAACTGGTCGGCGGCGAAGTGAGCGCTGAGTAGAAATGTCCGCCGAACAGTCCGATCAACTAATCGGCGACGAAATTCATGAACATAGCAGTCCGACCAGTTGATCGGCGGAGAAGTCTGAACACCGAGGAGTCCCCAGCTTAGCTGGCGATGCTTGCACGAAGAATTAGAACACCGAGGAGTCCCCAGCTTGGCTGGCGATGAAGCCCATGCGATGAGCAGTCCAACCCACTGGTCGGCGGCAAAGTGAACGCCGAGCAGGAGTGAGTGCCGAGCAGTCCGACCAGTTGGTTGCCGGTGAAGTCCGTTCGATAGGTGGTCCGACCACTCGGGCGATGATCATCTTATCCAGTCCTTGAGCGTAAGCTCGTTGACCGAGCCATGCCCCTGCGAAATAAATATACATAATGGGTAGTATACGATGTAAAAATAAATATATGAATTCGACGATGAAGGCAACAGAGCGGAATAGATAAACATTATGTTTGTATGAAGTGTTCATATTTTAAATATGATTAACTTCCTGCCAGTTGGTTCTGTATCGCATCACCAGCCCAACTAGCCCAAACTCTATAGCGCGGAGTGGTTGGCACCCGTGTATGCTGCAGTGAAGAGCACAAAGCGTCCGAGAGCCATCGCCGACCACCCATAACGTGAAATTCAAGGCGCTGGGTATGCGTGTAGGAGTGAGATCGAGAATAAGGTTGTTTCTGGTAACGCAAGTTAGAACGTGGCTGGTCGTCGAGTTTACAGAGAATATGTTCAAGATATTGCATTATGGAGCATCTTAAACATGGAGATATTAAACGTGGAGACATTTAATTATGGAGAATAACTGCAGAAATAATAATTAGAGAAGCACAGCGAAAACTCGGAGAAAATAATTGGAGAAAGCTGCATTAAATGCAGATATAGGAGAGGTACTTAGCTTTAGTCAAAACGTCTGATCGGTGACGTATGACGTTGCCCGGCCCTCGAGCTTTTCGGCGACTCAGGCGGCTCGCTGGGTGGCTCGCTTAGCGGCTCGGATAGCTCGGGCGGCGACTTCTCGAAGTTCTCTCTGATCGGAGTCAGAGTAGTCGAACTCAGCGGGCGGAATCGGCTCGTCGATGATGCCGCCGACGAAGTGGTTTACGATCCTGACGAGGCGGTTGCATCTTCGTCCACGAGGCACCTCAGCTTGCATGCCTCACGGAGATATGCGAGCCAGACGGAGACCTTGGCTATCTTTAGCTTGCATGGCACTGTGGATCATCGCGGTCATGCCTGGCTTGCTAGCCACTTGTGCATGCAGCCGTGATGATGAACACAACTGAATTCCTGAAATAATCATATGTATATGTAGATATCCAGATACATATTATATCATAGAATATTGTAGATTGAAAATTAAAGGTTGACTTAGCTTTGTTTGGGTCAAGCGGAGGCGTCGCCCGATCAGCTGATGGAGAGTCTCCCCATGAATGACATACGTGTATATGCATGCATTGCTGCTCCACATAAGACGCGTCTTGATTATTTGCCTCGGGATCTTGTCACCGATGATGCACGTGTGCAGCCGCCGAAGTACTCCGAACTCCATAGCCTGGAGCCACGGTTGATGACGCATCGAACCGGACGTACACTACTAGAGAACAGACTTTAGAACGATGTTCCAATTTAGCATTAGCCTCGGCATTTTTTGTCCCTGGGACTAAAAGACCTTTAGTCCCGGTTGGTAATACCAACCGGGACTAAAGGTTTCTTTACTCCCGGTTAGAGCCACCAACCGGGACTAAAAAGTCCTCCAACCTTTAGTCCCGGTTGGTAACACCAACCCGGACTAAAGGTACATCCTTTAGTCCCGGTTGGTAACACCAACCCGGACTAAAGGTCTCCCGATGGGTTAGTTCAAAAGGAAAGCATCCCATCCATTGTTAGATGTGTTGTGTAGGTGGGGTGGTAAGCTCCGCACGAGGCAGTGCATGAGGTCTTGGGTTCGAATCTCACGGGGCGCAGCGGTGGGAGACATTATTTTTTTTAAGCTAGGATGATCTTTAGTCCCGGTTGTAACAAACCGGGACTAAAGATCCCCACCTTTAGTCTCGGATTCATAGTCCTGGTTGGGAAACCGAGACAAAAGCCCTTTCCCAACCGGGACAAAAGCCACGTTGTGTAGTAGTGGTAGATCGACAAGGAAAATCTACCGATCTTGCCACCGATGCCAAGCCCGATTAATCGGGTTGCTAGAGGACCTGCAGAGCCGTGTCGCGCCGAACAGGATCTGCCGCTTGACTCCACGTATCAAAACTTGCTGCCGCGAATTCACATCAAGTTGCGCCGTAACGTCGGGTCACCACGAGTGATGTTGACGTTGATTTTGAGATCCATCTCGTTCGTCATGGATCAGCACGCACACCTCTACCTGGCGGGCCAACTGTCGATAAAAGATGCTCGACAGTCCTCCGAGGGGTATCCCACGAAGATAGATTGATCGGCAGAGGTGCGCGTGATCAGGAACTAGATGGTAACAGAGACACAAGACACAAGATTTATACAGGTTCAGGCCATCGATGTGACGTAAAACCCTACGTCATGTGCTTTGTTGGTTTGTATCAATGAGATGATTTCAAGGGGGGTCCCTGCCCGTCTTATATAGTCTTGGGGGCAGGGTTATAAATTGGTTAGATCTAGATCTATTCGGCTACATGGTAAGTATTTACAAGGAATACGACATCTATCATACCCGAACAGATCCTTCTCTATCTTCAAGATTCTTCTGATTGCCTTGCGGTGCAGCACGCCGATCGTGAGCCGAAACACTTAAATAGGCCTTGATCTTATAAATTTGGACCTCCCTAGTGGTGCGGCCCATGTCTTATCCTATGGATACCGGGGGTCATATCCCCCACAGAGACAAAACTGTCGCATCCCGAAATTCAGGACTTTATATCTTTATTATGGGAAAAATGTCCCACAATGGAAATAAGCAAAAGTATGGGAAACAAATAAAAAAATCAAAGTATATTTCAAAACTCGAAGACATAAATTAGTTAACATAAGAGAACAGAAAAAAAAATAAAAGAAGAGAAAATAAAATAAAAATGTAACCCTCCATGGGAAGAAAGAAAACAAACAAATAAAAATTAAAATAAAACAAAGAGAGAAACAGTGGATTTTAAAAAAAATACCTGGATTCTAAAGTCTAAACTCGGAATTCACGTGGCACTTGGGCCGTAGCGGCATCTATAGAGACAGAGCAAGTGGGCCTGCGAATTTGACTAGGGGCCGAGAGAGCAGGTTGGGCATGGATGGGTACAGGTGATATGATTCGGCGACGACAAATTTGTTTGTGGCCGCATTACTTGCCTTCACTTTCCTAAAAAAACTGCCTTCACTTATTGCTAGGCAGCACATGATAAAGTAGTACTCTCTCTCTCTGCGTGTGTGTTAAAAAAATGACAGTCAGTTTTACCTTAGACTGTCTCCAACGACGTATAGGCAAACGGCGACGCAAACGCAAAATCTATCGCTCACAGTGCTTTGCGTCCTAGAATCACGCTCCAACGGAGGACGCAAACAAGGTAGCCATTTTGCCTCGCAGGCGAGCCAGAAGGCAAAAACGCATCGTCTCTTTCGACGACGCAAAACACTGTAGACGGAGGCGCCGCCGCGTGGAGAGAGCGAGGCAAAGAGAGAGGGAGGAAGGAGGCAGACGGGGAAGGGGCCGCGCCGCGCCACACACTGGATACAGCGTCCCCGCGCCACGCCGCCACCGGATCTGGCCGGGGGAGGAGGCCCCGTCCCCGCGCCGCGCTCCTGGACCGGATCCGCCGCCCCTCGGACGCTGTGCTCGGAGGAGAGGGAGGGGTCGCTGTGCCGTGGTCGGAGGAGAGGCGCGGCCTAGATCCGCCGGGGAGCCGTCGGAGGAGAAAGAGGGGTCGCTCACAGGCCTCGGGCTCACACACACGCCAGCTGGCCATGCACAAGCCCGCCCCCCCGCCCCACGGAGAGCAGAGGAAGGGCCATGACGAGGAAGGGAGGCGCCGTGCTCATGACGAGGGAGGAGGGAGGGAGCGTCAGCAAGGGCATTGGTCACAGCAGGCCGGCCCGCCCGCCATGAGAAGAAGGAGCGCGGCGGTGGGTGGTCGTGGATCTGGGTCCGTGTGTTGGAGATGAGATATTTAACGTCGGTGACTTTTTTTTTTCAGAGATGACCTATAATACCGAATGGTATCGTATTTGGGTCCTCTTCGTTGGAGTCAGTCTTATGTTGAACTATCTTAGATTCGAACAACTTAAAATAATAACAATATTTATATTACTAATTACTAAATATGGATAATTAAATTCATTATTTTCTTTCGAGATCATGCCTTGGCACATTTTTTATTAAGCAAGAGTAGAAAGTTTGTTACAAAACTATCAAGTTACAGTAATCCAAATATTACCGAAACCCATAGCCCACACCTCTCACACTACTCGCACGTGGTTGTGATTACACGAGATACAATTATGAGACTAAGACAAGGATACACCTCAAACCTCGTCCATCTCGACCATATCGAAGTTCATGGCCAACGAGTCAAAATCCCCACCGAAAAGAAGCTGAAGCGCCTCCTGCTTGGAGGCCGATAACGGTGTCTGGAAGGTAGATTTGTACTTACGCACCGTCTCAGAGTCGACGATGGGTGAGCGTGCAATGACGCCCAGCTTCTGCATGAGCACGCACTGAGCCTGCTTGATGGAGTCCGCCTCGCGTGGCTTCGCCGCCAGGCGTTCACTGTGCCGTAGCGACCGAACGGAGACCGGCGTCCTTGGCGTACGCAGCCTAGGCTGTCCGGGGATGAGGGACGTCTGCAACGGAAGGCAAAGCCATCTAGCATTTCCACAGTCCCCGGCGACGCTGGCCTACCCACATCGTCATTGCTTGAGGAGTCCCTCGGCGCGCCCAGCATCTCCACTTCCCTGGGCGAAGTCGAGACCGGCTGGCATAGGTCCACCGCCTGGGCCGCCTCCGACACGGCCTGGCTCGTGAGACCTGCCTGAGGTGGCCTTTTGGCCAGACATGCCGCCAACTCAACCAATATGGGATCGAAATCCCAACGCTGACCCTCCGAGCAACGGTCCATTGCGAGCTCAGGCTTAGGGTGCACCGCTTGCCCGCCTCCTTGCACAGCGATGCTAGAGTGGCCGTCCTGCTGACACTCGCGCGCAAAGGAGCCCCGAGCCAAGCATAGACCCTGATCATGCCCACAGACACACGAAACCTCGAGGAAAGGTGAGCCTGGAGCTCCTCCGGCGTGACTGCTGGCCGGTCTCCACCAACGAGTGCGACGAGGACCGGGGGTCCGCTCTAGACGCTGCGAGCTCCACGTTCCTCTGGACGACGTAGACCTCGACCTTGGGACAGTTATCAACGACACCCGGAGGTGGTGAAACCGGCCGGCTGCTGTTGTGGTGCTGCTGCGGCGACGATGACGGCGCGGTCGACCGCAGCACACGACACGGCAACGTTGTGGGCGTCGGACCTGTCGCGGCGTGACATTCTGGAGACAGTCTGGGTCGCGCCGGACCATCAGGGCGACGTGCCCTAAAGGCACTCCAGCTGGGGCGACGCGCCACCGACGGCGACGGCCTCGGTTGCCTGCTGGCGAATGAGCACTCTTGCATGCCCTGGCATGATGGCCGGTACCCCGTCAGCGTAGGCAGCGGGTCGGGGAACGACACTGAGTGCCGATGTGGTCGTGCGCGAGGCAGTTGAAGCAGCAACCCACGAGCTCCGGCAGGACGGGGCGGTGGCGTTTGGTTGATGTACTCCTCGGGGAGCGCCGAAGACGACGACGCTCGACAAGCTGGAATCCGTACGTTGGGCCTTCGATGGGGTCGCCGAGACGTGTCAAGCACGGGCGCCGTACGCCGCGGACCGAGTCGTTGGTGCACCGGAACTCTCGCCGTTGGCTGCGAACCGAGGCGACGCTGCGCGGGCACACGCGCGGCGTTCAACGGTTGAGTCCCTCGGCCGTTGGGCGCAGCGGTCCTGCACCGACGACGCCGCTTCCCCCTTGCAGGCACCGGATGGGTTCCCTCCACAGCGCTCTGCGCCGCGTCCGGAGCCCCAGCCGGCGGTGGAGGCGTGGCCCGGAGAGCCCTGCGAGTAGCGTCCAGGTACGACGAGCGCGCGGCAGAAGAGGCGAGTTCGTCGTCGAAGCTGCCCGCACCGGGGTTATCCTCCCAACGCCGGAACTTGCTCCTCCCAGCCAGCCGATGGGCGGGGAAGAAGGGTGGGGCATGCGCGGAGAGGGAGGACGGCGAGGGCCTACCCGAGCGTGCCGCATCCTCGTCCTCGTCCTCGTCAACCACATCCTCCTCCTCGTCCTCATCATCCAGGACGTCCTCGACGACGACCATCGTCTCGTCCACCAACCCTCCAACCGTGGCAGGTACGGCGGCGGGTTTGGGCTCGGAGGTGGTGGCACCCGGCAGCGGCGGCGTCTCTGGCGGAGCCCGCAGCGGACGGGGAGCCCCAGATCCGGACCCCGCGGATGCATTTCCCGTCCCCGGTGACGGAGAGGCGCCGGGATAGGGCGGTGGAGCGCTGGAGGAGGACGCTGGCATCGTCGCGCATTCCCCAGCGCCGGTGGAGACCGCGGCCGTGAGCGCCGGAACAGGGGGCGGGGTGGGTTCGCTCGCAGGGGCGCGACGGGAGCTGGGTGTGGGGTCGGTCATCCGACCGTAGCTAGATCCACTCGCGCCAACGCTGCCGGCGTCATCGCATGCCCAAGCGGCAACAGCGAGCTCGGAGAAAGCAGAAGAGGGTAGCGAGGGGGAAGGGAAAGGGGCGGGGGAGGAGGGAGGGGCCGCCGGCGCCGGGAGGGCGGCCGGCAGCGGCGGCGGGTCAGGGGTGGGCAGGGGCGCCTGCTAGGTCATCCCGTGGGCTTGTGGCTCACAAAGGCCTTCCTATAGGATGGAGTTTCTTGCTGGACGTTCATTAAATTCATTATGAAATATAGTTTCATGTTTTACATATTTAGTGTAGTGAGAATTTTTACTTGGGACAAAGCTAGATAATTGTGTACTTGGGACATCACCGGCAGCCAGGAGATCAAGATGATGCCTTTCGGCGCATGTGCCTCGACTACTCGCTCGCCATCCACCACGCCGAGTACTTCGTGGCCAGAAAGATGATGTGGGAGCTGGAGTTGGCGCCCGCCGGTAGACGGCATTGGCGGAAGTGCTTGACTTCATCGTCGTCATGAAGCATCCGCTCCGTGCACGCATCGTAGCCAGACATTAGCTCCATGGCAGCTGAAAGTGGATGGTGTGGCGCATCCGCCGTGTTGGACATGGCGGAGGGGTGGGATTTCACCGCCGTGATGATTTGAAGCACCTCTCCATGCATACGTGCATCATCATTACCATACATAGCTGGCATGGGTTCTTGACTTCTTGTCAATCAATCAAACAAACAAACAAACACCATACGATGGGTTATAAATAAATAAAAGGCCAATATTTACAGTGATTATTTAATCATGTTGCGTAGCATTTTCTTCACAAGCAGAAATGAAGTGCGTGTTAGAGCGTCTCCAACAAATTACCTATCATCAATCTCTAAAAGTTTATATAAGTGAATCTCCTATTATTGGTAGCTTAGCCTTTCCTTTTCTTCTCCAAAACATTATCAATACATTTTAAATTGATAGATGGGTTGAATCTCCTAATTTAAGGGAGATGGGAGAAGATTTTGAGCAATTACTTAAAGTTTTAGATATTAAGATATGATAAGTAATAATCTGTTGAAGTAACCATAATCCCTTATACATTCAGTTTCAGAAGCATCTGTTTTGCCCTCTGAAACATTGCCTTCTGTAATTGGGAGAAGTTAAATTGTTTGCCAAAAGTTGGACAAAACTGTTTGCCAATGATTTCAGAAGTTACTTTGCTGCTTCGTAATTGGGGGAAGTTAAATGAGTTTTACTCCGCTCAATCTGGTTATCGACGTTTCTTTGTCGGCTCCACACATCTTTTGAACCCCGCAAACTGACTTCTCTTTTTTTTTTTTTGCGACTGTGTGGATGTCTTGGGCACCGCTTCGCTGCAAGTTCTTCCTGTGGTTAGACAGATGTTGGACAGTGGACAAGTTGGCACGCCAAGGCTTGCCGTACCAGCCCTGCTGGCCGCTATGCGACCATAAGGAGGAGGAAGACATCGAGCACCTCCTTTCAACTTGCGTCTTCTCCCGCCAAGTTTGGTTCGCTGCCCTAGGCAAGTTCGGCCTGCAAGCAATGGCACCAGGTCCACACGATGACTCTTTTCCAAGATGGTGGCACGAGGCGACACGAAGGGCTCCAAAGGTGGTGCGAAAGGGCCTCAACTCCATGATGATCCTCCTACCGTGGACCCTATGGAAACATAGAAATCGGTGTGTGTTTGTTGGAGTGACAGTCTCGGTAGTGCTCCAAAGAGGCAAGTGAGCAGGCACATTTCTGGACTTTGGCGGGCGCGAAGGCCCTGCGTGTGCTGCTAGAGCAAGCTGCATAGGCAACCAACTTGTAGGGGCTGTATAGATTGTTCAATGGGCGCGTTCATGCAAAAATACTAACCCCAGCCATGGAATCAGCTTGTAATCAGACCATTTTTTTCTATCTATCAATGAAACGACACGCAGCTCTCCTCTCCTGCGTGTAAAGAAAACATATCTCGGATACTAAAAAGAAATTGAAAAATAAATAAATTGAAGGGCAGTGTTTCCAACCAGCAGATTAAAGCTGGTTTGTGCAAGTGCAACTCATATAGAGTCTGACTTCACACACTTTAGTCCTTGGTATTAGCTAAGCACATCAATGCATCACCCTGGAACCAAATGCACCTAATGATCACAGGAATTATCTACTGCATGTCTGCATATGAGACAGCATGGTACATGTGATGGAAAGATGAGTGACAGACAGGCTTCAAGCGCTCTTGCATTGACAATGATGGAAAGGACATTCAACAAGTTGAAGAGTTCATTCCTTGTTGCTCTTGGGCCTTATTTAGATTGGGGTTAGGAATCAGTATTTGGCACTATAGTACTTTCGTTTGTATTTGACAATTATTATCCAATCATGGCCTAACTAGGCTCAAAAGATTCGTCTCGTAATTTACAATCAAACTGTGTAATTAGTTATTTTTTTATCTACATTTAATACTTCATGCATGTGTCCAAAGATTTGATGTGATGAAGAGAGAGTGAAAAAACTTGTAATCTAAACAAGGCCTTGGTGCTTCAAAGTATCATTGTCACTGCTAAGCTGGCTGTTCGTCTTTTTAGCAGAAGTGCATCTGTATGCTTGTTACCTAGCCTGCAAAATAGAAGGCTTGACTCAGGGTGTAGAAAATATACCTCTGAAATCTGAAATGGCATATATGAATACAGAAGGAAGCTTTTGATATGCATTGTGATAAAGAGAAGGTCAACCGACCCAAAAGGAGAGATGAAAAGCACCCATAGTAAACTGTAAACCTGAGCCACTCACTCAGTCACTCAAGAGGTGAAAACAGACGCTCCCTCCTGTGTACAGGCTGTCTCTCACTGCACTGATTTGATTTGTTGCAAATACGTTAAAAGCTCATTTTTGTGTGTGTGAGAGCCACCAAATTCAGGACAAGTAATGACAATGAAGGGCACCCTCAAAGAATCGAAAAATCCCAATTCCTTTGTGTCAAATCAGATTCCATTGCATCCATTTGACATTTGGGGCTTGTTTAGATGCAAAAAATTTTGCAAAATGAGTATTGTAGTGTTTTCGTTGTTATTTAGCAAATAGTGTTCAATCATAGTCTAATTAGGCTTAAAAGATTCGTCTCGTGGATTTCATCTAAACTGTGTAATTAGTTTTATTTTTTATTTATATTTAATGCTTCATGCATGCGTCAAAGATTCGATGTGACGGGGAATGTGAAAAATTTTGCAAACTAAACTGGACCTTGGACTCAAATTTTTCATCATGGCCTTGTTTAGATGACATCAAAGTTTCAAGTTTTTTTACTCTCTCTCCATCACATCAATTTTTGGACATATGCATGGAGCATTAAATATAGGTAAAAAAAGTAACTAATTACACAGTTTGTTTGTAAATCACGAGACGAATCTTTTGAGCCTAGTTAGTCCATAATCGGACAAAATTTATCAAATACAAATGAAACATGCTACAGTGTCCAGATTACAAAAATTTACAATCTAAACAAGACCATAGAATTGGGAGATTCTCTTCCCTGCTAGCTAGCAAGTAGTAGCAGACTAGCAGCACCTAGCAGCCTAGCACAGCATCCATCCAGTTCCTCCTCCCTTTTGAAAATGAGCAAGAAAATAATCATCTTTTCTTTAGGGCGTGTTTAAGTCCAGAAAGTTAGAATTTGGGGATCACCAGATGTCGATTGTTTCGTAAAGCATCGGCAAGTGAATTTATAGTAATGCGGCGTTAGGCTCGGATGGTGCGCTAAAGGACACAGGATTTATACCGGTTCGGCAAAACGCCCCTACGCCCGGGCTTTGTTGTTATTTGTGTTATTAGCACCGTAACGATCGTAGTAAGGGATACAAATAACCGAGAGGGACTGGTCCCAAGTCTCCGATCAAGGATTGAAAGGTGGTCAAGAGCTTCAGAAGCTGCTTGAATGTGTGTGAGTGCGTTCTATTGTTTTTGTCCTCCTTTTCTTCCGTCCCCTTGATAGAAGAAGCGCATCCCTTTTATAGATGAAGGGGCCGGCTTTACAAGGGTAAGGGCTCCAGACGCGCATTTACTTAGTCTTGTGGCTCACGCCTACTGGTCGTCCTCCACCTGATGAGTGCGAAGGAAGATAAGTGTTTACAATGTTGTCGATGTCTCTGCAGGATGTCGTGGTTAGTCACGTATCGCTGCCCTTTGTAGTATGGGCTTGGTGATGATTGGTTTTGACTTATGAGCCTCCCCAGCCTTTGCTCACGCCTCGGGTTCTCATGAGTCCTCGTTGGGAGAATGCGGGTCGGGGTCCGGTGTAACGCCGTGGTCAAGGCCTTCGACCGGGAGGACCAGGGGTCGGGAAGCGGGCGCCACTCCTCGTCCACCGTGTGGTGACGGAATACCCATCGCTCGTGGAGATAGCAAATTTTTCCGGATCGTAGCGGTTGTCGTATATCTTCGCAGGTTCCGTGTCCCAGAGCCGGGCGGCGCCTACAACTACGCAATAATACCTTTTGGGCTCATGGGCGCCTGAAGGGTCTAAAGCTTTAGTCCTGTCGTTCCTCGGCGGTCCTTTTCTCGCCAGTATTTATGGTCGTTGGAGCCATGGTTGACCCGAACGCCTTGTCTCGCCTGCACTCATCATTATGAGGGATAGATATCGATCGTATGCGAGGCTCGCTCAGGCCGTCGGGTGAGGCTGACCCCGCCTCTCGGGTCAAGCGAGACGGAATTCCCCTGACCCTCTAAGCGTGATCCGAGCCCGCCTCAAGGCGTCAAGGGCGAGGCGGAGTTTATCCTCGGCCTCGGGCGAGACCGAACCCGCCCTATAGGCGTAGAGAGATTAGCCTGAGCTTTGGGGCGAGGTAGGGTTATCCTACCAAGGCATCGGCAAGTGGCTGACCTCGCCCC